ATGCTTCAAGATGTCAAAAATGGAAGCTATGGTTGCTTTGGTTCGAAAGGGAGGTGATGGAGGCTAAGGTTGAGCAAACTCTAGCCATCACATCCCTTAAATAAGGCTTAAAATCCAGAAAATTAGGGTTTGCATGTTGGCCGTCGCCACGTCGTGGCATGGGCCTTTCCACATCGTGGTGTCCAAAATGATGTGTGTTCTTTACGGGTGAGGCCACGTCGTGGTACCTTTCCGACCAAGTTTTGGCCACCCAAAACTTCAAAATTTAAAGTCTCAAATGCCATAAACTTAAAGGAAGCATATACCTGTAACTGGTGTTACACCCATATTCGCCAAGCATATCGGATTTGCAGTTTGGGTCACAAAGAGCTTGGATGTGAGTTTTGGGTATTAGAGAAACAGAGGACATGTAGAGATTTAAGTAAGTGATGGATTTAACGATGCAACTACGAGATCCAATGTGCATCTGGTGATGCAATGGGGTTGATATGAATGGGTGTTTAACGTAGATAGATTTTTCGTCGCAATGGGAGAGTGGTGGTGGTTGTCAGCTACCAAAGTGGTTGTAGCCAAGGACGTTATCAGAGCAGTGGGATTTCCCAAAAAGGGGGCTGCAACGGAAGAGGAGGATGCCGACGAGGTCGGCGAGGAGGGGGAGTGATTGTAGTATGCTAGAGATGAGGGGTAGGGAATGATGGTGATGAGGGTGGTGTTTGTGGTGGTGACGAGGGATGGGAAACCGGTGAGGTGGACATGATGAACTTGAAGGCAATATAGTTTAGTGGCTCATATGTGTAGAGAAATTCATAAGAGGGTTATGTGTTGGGTGTCATTGAGTCAAAAGGAAAGACATGCTCAATCAAAATAATATGCCTTGATTAGTCATGTATTATTTGTTGGCCTTATTGTTGTATATGACCCTTTTGTATGCTTTGCCTACTTCTCTTGTACTCATGTATATATATTGTTTAATATCAGTGAAATCTTTCAAGGGAAACAATCTCTTTTATAGTATCATATTGGTAGAATATTTTCCCTCAAATCCCACTCAATCTTCTACCTTCTTTCTTCTTCCCATTCTAGCCGGCCCTAGCATCTTCTCCAATGTCGCCATGACAAACAATAACACCATCACCGACAAAGATAAAACTAAAAAACCATTTGCAAACACCGACATTCAATCCTATGTTCCTATTACTCTTGATCTAGAAGAGTTTAACTATGACTCATGGCAATACCTCGTTGAAGCCTGTTGTATTACCTTCGGTGATGATACGTAAATTTATATCCTAGTTTAATCCAACTAATTTAACTAACTATTACGTCTAAGGCAGTGTACCTAATCGAAAATAGAATAACACAAATAGTCGGGTATCGAACACAGGGAACGGATTCAGTATGCTAAAATAATTACTAAAAATTAATTTAAATCAAAAAAATAATTAAAACGGGTTTTGATCTGATTTTGCAAGTTCAAACTAACTTAAGCACTCAACTAAAAACGATTGTAATCAAGATATTAAAAACACTTTCGTTTAGTTTCGAATCCACCTTTTTCTTATGGTTACTTCTTATTTATGGATTAATAAAGTTGGTTACCAATTTATATGTAATTAGCAATCTTGGTCCAATCTACTAATAACTTTTACCAATTCATGTACTACTATGTAATGGTCTTATGCAAGCAAACACAAAATTAGTTATTAACGATAATTGGCCTATGTAAGATATATCTAGATAATTATCTATGATCAAGACAATTAATCAAACACAGTTATGTTCACAATTATGTTCTCCAACACATCTAAAGTTGTTACCTTTATTACTTATCTAAGATGTGGTCAATCCTAGCTCTAGCAATTTAATGGTCACTAAACTACTAGGTAAACAAGTTCATGCAATTAAATGGTCACTAAACTACACTTAACTTGAATCAAAGCAACAAAGATGCAAACTTTAACATGCTTGGTAATGATAATCAAACACAAGCATCAAACCAACTTCATAAAATCCATAAAATAATAAGCTAACTCATAGTTTTAAGGTTTCATCTAGCAAAACGAAAGTCTACTAATTTAGCTACTCATGACTGAAAGTAAACACACAAGTTCATAAGAAAGTGACATGATTAAATTAACGCAAACCAAATTTAATGATTTAATCTTCAAATTTTCGAACTTCAAACAATCTCTCCTTCCAAAGGATGTTTTTCGCACTTTTCTGACCTCCAAACTCGAGTATCTCTTCAGAATATGTAAAAACCAACTCGAATGAGCAAAGGGATATATATAGTTTTGGAAAATCCATCCTCACATAGTGAGAATTAGAGTTCTCATGTCGTGATCTCGGTGGAATACGTGTCTAGCAAGGAATTTGGCTTCCGCGTATTTATCTTCTAGAAGAATTAATATCACGTCGTGAGATTATAGTTCTCACGTCGTGAGAACTGGGAATCAGCATTTGGCACAAAAATTAAAGTCGTCCGAAATTTTATCTAGTTTTCGGAACATTTTAAATCTCATCATGTGGAGTTATGAGTCATGAGATATGACCAAAATACTAACGAGGGGTCAAGCTGTCCAACAACATCCTTTTTGTATCTTTTTCAGCTCCAGTCCTTCCACGTTCCAATATTTGTCACTTTGGGTCCTTATGCTTCAAGAGTGTCATATTTGGATGCAAAATGTAAATTAATTTAATAAGTATCAAATATCTTTGCAATTAACCAAAATATTACTTAAAATGTATTAAAATATTGCCTAAATATATGTATAAATATGGCAATATCCAGTGACAACCATCATCTTATTGATCCCGTAGCTGATAATCCATCTGTTGACTAGTCCAAACTTGACTCACTTGTTAAGATTTTGTTGTATGTTACTGTCCATAAATCTATGATTCAAATGATCTTCATGACCTCTTACGACATCTGGAAAAGCATCAAGGACGTCTTCAACGATAACAAAGACACTCGAGCCATGGAACTCGACCAAGAACTTCATACCATCACAACTGGAGAAAACCCTTGTTACTTACATGGTCAATGGTCTCGGTGAAAAGTTTAATCAACTCGTTGGAATCATCCGCCATCAAGACCCACTTTCGTCAATTTTAAAAGCACGATCGATGCTTGTTCTAGAAGAACTCTGTCTCTCATGGGTTCAACCACAGCATGGACTTCATCAGGACAATGCTTCAGCCCCGACTTCCTTTATACCGGCTATGAGGACTCTTCTCGTCCTCCCTTCAATGCGACCCATGGTGAATGTCGGAATCAGGGCCACCAACAGCAAGGTGAACATCGGAATCATGATCGCCGACATCAGCATGATCATCGATAGGGTGTGAGTGATGATCATCGACATCAACAAGGTAAAGGCGGTGATAGGCGCTAGTCGCACATGATGAATTTTGCCCCACGAAAAATTTAGGTTGTCTAACCTCCATGGGATCCTCTAGCACAATGGCTCCAATCTGCATCTACCTGGCCCAACTTCAACCAACAAACTCCTTGGGCCCAACATCAGGAAACTTCAACACCTTGGGCTTCTTCTGGAGCTCGGTAACAGCAACAACAAGCCCAACAACATGCTGTCTTTCACACTATAACACCCACAAATGCTTCTAACCAGTAAAGTTTTGTTCTTGAGGCTTTTCAGACTATGAGTCTTCAAGATCCGACAAACTCAAGGTGGTTCATGGATTTCAGTGCGATAAATCACCTCTTCACGGGTACATGTAACTTTCACAACGTTTTTAATAAAAACCATATCTCGTTTATTATCGTCGGTGACGGGTCACCCATACCCGTCACCAACACATCACATAGCATTTCACGTACTCCCCATCGCCCACTCCATCTTCATAATATTATTGTCACCCCAAATATAATCAAAAAATCTAATTTATGTTCAGTAAATTCATTACTGATAATAATATATTGTTCTATTGAACTTGACTATTTTGGTTTAACTGTGAAGAACCGTCGGACGCACCAAATTCTTCTCCGCAGTGATAGCACCGGGGACCTTTATCCAGTTCACGACCTCTAGTCTCTTCCACGAACGTTTGTTTCTTTAAGTCGTACGACATGGCACCAAAGGCTTGGACATCCTGGGAACGAAATGTTTCGTCATTTGCTTTCTAATAATTTTATTTCATGTAATAAAACTGTTTTTGATGTTATTTGTAATGCTTGCCAATTAGGCAAACATGTCAATCTTCCATTTTATAGTTCTAATAAAGTCGTGAACTCCCGGTTTGATTTGATTCATTGTGACATTTGGACATCTCATTTACCAAGCTTGAGTGGTCTTAAATACTATGTCATCTTCTTAGATCATTACTCACATTTCTTATGGGTCTACCCCATCAAACATAAAAGCGATGTTGTCTCAAAACTCTTATATTTTCACAAACTTGTCGAAACTCAATTCAACAAAGACATGAAAGCTTTCTAATGTGATCACGGGGGCGAATTTGACAACAACACCCTTAGAACCATATTTGACACAAATAGCATCCTCATACGTTTTTTATGCCCAAAAACATCCCAACAAAATGGCAAATTCGAACGCATACTCCGGACAATTAATAACCTTATTCGTTCTCTTCTTTTTCAATCTCACCTTCCTCCCAAGTATTGGGTTGAAGCTCTTCATATAGCCACTCAACTCCTCAACCGCCTTCCATCCAAATTCATCGAAAATCATACCCCTTACTTTAAACTATATCAAAAGCAACCAACAAGCTAAATAATACATGACTAATAATAACTAATATGTAGTGATTAAAATTTCAATAATTAAAGGATCATGCACCCTTGTTTGTACGAAGACAAAAATAAAATTCCAAAGCAAAACTCTTTCACACATATATTATGCATGATTCTCATATATATTTTCTAACTTGTTTCCACAGCTTCCTCAAGCCTCTGCAGGTTTGTTCTTAACGATCCACATCAAGAAACAGGATCCCCACTCGTCTCATCACCTTCTTCACGATCCACACAATCCAAATGAGAACCAAAAGTCACACTCTTGGCAGTAATACGTCCAGTGACCCAGAGGCACAACCAGATTACACACATCACAATAGAATGTGTACTCATCTCCCATCAATGGGCACTCATAAAACAGCTTAAGAGCATGAACATGATCACTGCGCTTCACTGTGTCCTTCAACGTTGCACACTTAACATGTAGATTGTGTTCACATATCGAACAGTGATAGAAAAAGCCAGTACCTTCTCTGAAGCATGCATCACAAGTAAACGTGCGATTTTCCTTACTATATGGCGATGTGGAGAGAAGGGCAAGAGGATGAGCTGGATGAGATTCGTGTAAAATCTCTCTCTCCAGATGAAAGCAAGATTCATGAAGTTGAAAGTGACAATTTTCTTCAACACATGAATAACCTATGCCAACCAGAGTTTCTTGACATCCCGAGCAAGCTATCTCCTTTTTTCCATGTTTTAAGTTTACCAAAACTAAACCATGAGGGTGGGTAAAGTGTTTGGTCCCTTGAATTTTCTGTCTGTTTTGACCAGCTTCCACACGGGGAGATGACTGTTCAAATGGAGCACTATTTGGAACAGAAGCAAAAGCTGCATATGGAGCACTATTCGAATTTTGGGCACTTGTGGGAGCACTAGTAAAATTTTGAGATGTATAAGCATTTTGGGCACTTATAATCGGATTTTGAGCACTAGTAGGAAGAGGAAACGGCAGATTTTGAGCACTAGTAGGAAGAGGAAACGGGAAAGCATTTTGAGGCATGTAAGAGTTGTGGGTAACAGTCGTTGCATATTGAGCATGAACTGGAATCGGAGTTGGAATATGAGCGGGAATCGGAATTGAAACGGCTGCAACATTAGGGACCATGGAAGAATTTGGGACATGGAAATGTGCAGGTGGCACTATTTCTTGGTTCTGATGAAAAAGATTATGTGGATGAGGAGTAGTACTTACCTGATGTGGTTGATGAAAATTTGTAGCACCAGATATGGAATAAGCACATTGGACATGGAGATCAAAATCACAATCTGGACATGAATAGGAGAAGCCAGTTCCAATGATTTTGCAGGAATTGCAATAGAAAGAACTGGATGGGTACGTAGGGTAAGGAACCAAGGTAAGAGGGTGAAGAGGGTGTGATGGATGTTTCCGGGACCGGGATGCGTGAAAACATTGCTCGTGGAGGAAGAAATTGCAGTGCCAGCAAACATACACGGTGTTGGTGGCTGAAGAGTTGCAGCCGGAGCAAGAGACATCGGAACCTTCTGGTATATCATGCATCATTAGGTTGTGTGTGTGACTGAAATGCTTGTATCCAGACTCCATCGGTGTCTCGTGTTTTTTGGGGACAATTACTTTGTTCAATGGGAAGAAACTGATGCATACATAACAAGTAGAATGGTAGTCGGAATTGGAATACGATGGGGACTTGGTCAAGATCAGCCACAATTGCCTGTTATATTCTTTCGTTGACTTCATTATTTTAATATTTTTTGAAGTCTACTCTTAGCTGGTTTGCTGACTTTTTGGGCAATTATTAGTGTGAAGTCAACTGAGAATTTGTGATTATTTAGTGGTAATTTTCTTATTTTATTTTATTTTTGGAAAACCATAGATACTTTTGATCCATTAAAATCATGAATTTGTGATTATTTAGTGGCAATTTTCTTTTTTCATTAAAAGCTAAACTATAATAATGTGCTTTCATATATCTATTAAAACAACTTCGTAGGGATTGATCTTAAATTTTTTTAACTCTTAACATAAAATATCATGAAACATTAATTTAAGCATATCATAAAATAATTTTAACGGACAAAATATAACTAAAATTGTTTTAATGGACAAAATATAACAGCATGGTTTTTTGAGCATGAGAGATAATATGTTTTATATGTGTAACATGCTATTAAGTGGCAAAAATTATAATCATATTTATTGATGATTTTTCATATCATATATTTAAAAATATACAGAAACTCAATAAACCAAAGAAAAACAGTTCCTTTTATTATGTAAGAACCGGTTCAATATAAATACAATTGAATCCTTACGCTAACCTATCTCTCAATCTCACATAGCAAGAAAAACGTTTATTAACCGCTAAAGCTTACTCATGTCGCCGGTAAAGGTAATAGCGGTGACTTGCCGTCGCTTTTGTTCAAAAAATCGTCGTTAAAGATATTTGTTGCCGCCAATACCATTGTCGCCGGTAATAGTGTCGACGCTAATGTTCGTTTTTTTTTAATCAGCCCTTTTTTGGTGTAGAAAAACCGATACATAACGACATTAAATGCAGAAAACACGAAAACATTAAATGCAGAAAACGATTACATAACGACATCAACCAATAGTGTTATAATTCCATATATGTACCAAAGTAAATAACAAAAGTTTTATAAAGTTATGACATAACAAGTCTAACAAAACACAAACTAATCCGACTAATCATCATCTTCATTCCCCTCGTTTCCTCTGCAATCACTTCGTGGTTTATTCGCCGCAAACCATACTAGAAGTTCTACAGTACACGTCGGATCATTGAGCATTGATCGAAGATTCTATCAAATTACCAAATTACAAAGTACCAAAACAAAACCAATTACCAAAGTTTTTAACAAATAATCATCACAAACCAAAATTACCAAATCAACATGCATTTATTGATCATTATATATGTATATATGAGACTTTAGAATCAAATAGTCTTGTTTTACCTGCGATGGCTGTGACTGTGGTGGTGGTTGTGATGGTTATGCAATCGGCAGAATGGCAAAATGTTTTCGTCCAATGCATCTAATATGTCCACGTCGAGAACCTAATACTTTCTCAAAACAAGCTTTTTCTTCAGCTGATGTTAGATCTCTTTATCAATTTAACCCTTAAGTTTGTTCTAGAAGCTCGTGCACTAATTGATTCTGTGTTTTCCAAAATGTCACACCCCAAAACCGGAGTGGCGGAAACGTTCTGGGGCGGAGGACGTCATGTGTAGTATTATAACAATTGTATCATAGCAATCATAGTAAACACAACCAAACATTGAATACATATATGAAAAAGGTTTACATTGACTTAATACATAGTTTTGTTCATATCAAAAGTAAAATAGAAGGACGTGACTCTAACGCTTCGACTTCTCCAAACTCCTGGAAATACCTGTCTACTAATTCCCTGAGAATACAAGCAGTTTTGAAAGAGTATCAGCATAAAGCTGGTGAGTTCATAAGCATTTAGTTTTGGAGAAAAATGTTCTTTGCTTCTTTTGAAAAGTGTTCCTCAAGAAAATCTCATATTTTCTTATGAAAAGCATAGTTGAAACTCATTCCTTCCATGACTTTCCGATTCATACTAGATACGTACAATCCAAAGAGTCATGGAATGAACATGAATATCCGTTAGTTGAATAATAAACCATCAGTTTATAAAAATACCGTGTTATCCTGGGAAAATCCTATATTTTTCCCTAAAAGTAGGTTATTGATTATTCGTTCTAAACTGAAGAGTACAAGTATCTTCCATACTTATATTGTTAAAGCGTAGTTTCTTTTGAAAAACCCTGGTTACTCCCAGTGAGGTATATTAGTCTTATTACATAAATAAAACTAATTAAAACATGGTGATCTAAATCCTGAAGGTATTGTTAATACCCTTCCGTAATCACTTGGTTATTAACTCTGAAGTTAGTTCGTTCGTTTGATCTATTATTACGCAACTAAATCGCTGTTATCTACATTGTGAGTTTTATGACCATACTTTGACTTGACATGGCGCGAATCGGGCACCAGTATCTTTTATGACTTTGTCACCCGTAGACCTGTCGGTCCTACTGTAGCTAGCAGCAAGGTGTGGGATATTCAGTCGCGTATAGATCTATACACAAACATCACGCTCTCCCTCCAGGAGATTCTGGTCACAAGTGCTAGTCCTCCACTTAGTTATGTTTGTAAGCGCCCAAGGACGTGTCTCCAATTAGACTAACAAATTTACAAGTAATAATGCTGAAAACCTTTTTTGTAATTAACATGAATCTTTTATAAAATGATATCTTTTACTTCATGATTCATAAGTTCGTTTCCTTAGTTTTGAAAACTACTTTTGCAAGTTGGTTTCTTAACCCATTTGGTAAAACTGATTTCCATATTCGAAGTATCTTGAAAATATATTTATCTTAGACAAAATAATATATTTTGAGCACAAGATTTCTTGTGCTTTTGCTTGTATCCCCCCCCCCTGAAAACATGAAAAACTCGGAAAAGCGTAGGGGTATGAACTCACCTCGAGCAAGTGGCTTGAAAGAAAGGTTAGTATGAGATGTTGAGTATCTAATGAAACTTCGAACACAACTAGATCCTATTCAACATGTAATAACACATATAGGAGTCAAATGAAGGTATTTCACTACTAGATATGATACGAAACAACTCTAAGGACTTGGAACCACTTGCACTAAGTGTTGGAACCTTATGGTATGGAGTGAGGGAGGTGTATGGCCACCTTATGTGTGTGTGCGGCCATGGGTGTGCGGCCCATGAGGTGTGCGGTCGTACACTCATGATGAAGGTGTCTTTGAGGTGTTTTCAAGGTTCACACAAGCATCCATGAAGTGTTCTAGGTCCATGCTTAGTTGCGGTGCAAGTTTGAGGTCAATAAGGGTCATAGAAGTGGGTTTGCGGCCCTAAGGTGTGTGTGTGGCCGTACACAGGGGTGTGTGGCCGTACATGATAGTTTCATTTTATTTACTTCTTTTTATAGTTTATTTTAGCACATTCCATCTCATTTTAGTTAATCTTCATGCATATTTTCTCTTTTTATTATTTTTCTCCTTTACCGGGTGCTTTCGAGTCTTTTGAGCTTATTTGCAGGATTTATCGAAGACTATTTGTCATTGGAGGTATGGAAGGAGTGCGGGACTTTTGGAGGCTTACGGTTTGCTTGTGGAATTGAAGTGGTGTGATTGGGCATGTTGTCAACATAATCAAAGGAGCAAGTTGGGCTTAATTTTAGATGAAGAATGATGATGATGTGAAGAGAATTTTGAGTTATAGAAGATCAAGGAAGCAATGACCCATCTTAGGAGAGTCAAGAAGACACAATTGGGCTATCAAGAACCTTTACATGTGGGCTGGACCAAGAAATAAAGGAGCAAAAACTAGAAGGCCAATCAAATGGGCCAAATGGCCCAGAATCCACGCGGTCCGCGTGGATTTACAAATGATCCGCGTGGATCGCACTGTGGAGAATCCGGATTTTTGACTTTTTGAGTCTATTTTGGGAAGGTTGGTGGAATGCTTTTGGGGGACTTTTGGATCCGATTTTTGACCACTTTTACTGGAGTTTTGAAGCAAGAAGGAGAAAAAACACTTGAAGAACACACACAATTCTCTCTCAAGGAGGCTTTGGAAGATTTGAAGATTTTTTTGAAGATTAGTGTAATTTCTTTCCATCTTGCAATTAGAACAATGTTTGGTACCACTAAACTATATTGTCTTTCTTTTACTTTGGCCATGCTTGGCTAAACTTTCATTTGGTTGATTAGGGTTTAATCCCATGGATGATTGGTTGTTTTGAAGACTATTATTATCTTGTGTTGAAATTTATGGAAATGTTTTCTAGTTAAACATCTTGTTGTGTTTATTTATCTTTGATCATGAGCTTAGATGAATGAATGCTTATTTTTGTTGACTAATTTCTTGGTTAAGTAATGGACTTTCAAATTAGTAAGCAACAAATGGTTTATATGTTTGTTTTCATTTCATTTAGACCATGGAAATGTTTCCTCCATAATGATAATGTAAGCATTTGATTATCTTTTGGACTTGGTAACTCTTATAACTTAAAGATAATTGATTTTCACAAGATTTTATGCTTCATTGATTTTGTGACTTCAATTAAGGAAATGTGTTAAGAGCTCCTCTAGCCATTTTAATATCTAAGAAGAGTTGAGGCAATTTGTGCTTATGAATTGCTATAGCCAAGTTAAACCAATTCACAAGTGTTATTCTATTTAGTCTAATGATAAGTCAACCATGTCATCCATGTGGTGTATCCAAAATCAACCAGTTTCACTTCATTGAATTTAATCAAATCTTTTACTTGTTTACTTGTCATATTTACATTCTAGTTAGTTTTAATTTTGTCAAGCAATCAAAAAGAACTAAACCCCCCCATTTTTATTTTATTGTCATTTTACAAGTACTTTTGCAAAGAGATTTTCCATAGAGTTATAAATTGAACCAATCTCCGTGGATCGACCCCTTTACCACTATACACTATTTTAGTGTAAAAGATTTAGGGTTATTTATTTTTGTTGGCCTCGACAACCACCA